GTAATTCTGACCTCTATTCAGGATATCAGTTACTTAACTGATACCGTAAAAAACTTGTCATCTATAAGAGTATCAGATTTAACTCTCCACAGCCACACTTGCATTTAAGTCATGCTTTTTCTATACCACTTGGTATTATCCTATCAAACCCTGTTGCTGATGTGAGAAGGGTGTAATTTAACTCCAGAGTTCTTGGGAACAAGATGTGAGCAGTTTTTCTTTACTGCTTCTCCATCGTGCAGTTCACTTGAATTTGCTTATCACAGTTTATCAGCTTCAAGGCTTTCCTGCGAAAGTGTTGTTTGCAACCACCGTCTGCTAGATAACTTGTAATTCTTACATAGCTGCCAAAATGCTTTGGAGGGAAATAGTCTTGCCTGGCTAAATTTTTGTTAAAATAGGTCTTGCAAGTTTCTGAACAGATCTTTATATTAGATGTTTTGTGGGGGAGGGAAACATATCAAATTCTCAAAACCACAGATCTCTTTGAACCACAGTCTTTGGAGCTAAGCTTCCTCTGTTTTTTCTTTGAATCTGAAAAGAAAATGAGACCTGTTATGGGAAATCAGACCTGACTTTTCTATAGCTGCATTTAGTTTACACTGAATGCACAGTGTATGTGTTATCCTGGCATCAGCAGGCTTCACTTTTGCTTTAGCTTAATAAGGACTTTAGACAGGTCATCAGCCTGTCTGTTCCTTAGTTCACCCATTTCAAATATATTTATGTCAAATAATCAATAGCGCACTTGTGAAGCTTAGTTCATGTTTGTAAAGTGATTAATCTTTATAACCCATTATCATAAAGCAGTGTTGTAAAATTATTATTCCAGTCTTACTGCTTGCACCAGGCACTGTAGTTCTTGGTGAGTACCTGTAACTTTGAAAGTCGACACAAAAAAACTTCTGGTTTTTTCATTTGCACGATAGCTCTGAGTCACCAGAATAACTTACAAATGTTCAGGAAAAAAAGTCTTCCTCCTAGCTTCTAGGATTGTTTGATGTACGTTCTGGTCATAATTTACAATGGTTCACTGTTGTCCAGTCTGATTAGTTCATGGCAAGAGTTTTGATGTTTGAAAAGAAGTCTGGTTTCTTTTTAAGTTAAAAAAGGAAGAAAAAAAAACCCAGTATTTCTAGAATCTTTTCAATCCTTTCTGCTGCATACTAATGATGATAAGGAAATGATTTATCCTCTAAGAAGTCAAACTCAATGTGTGAGTCAGAATGTTGAAACTGTTTTAAGAGTCTGTTTGTATATAGGCTAAAAGAATCATGAAATCTAAGAAATAAAATGAATTTCATCAGAACACTACTGTGAAACGCCTTAAATTCAGTCATAGCAGTATGATATACAGGCCACCTCTGCAAAAGCCTCAGGTACTAGTTGCACAATTATTTTGGAAAAAATAAAATGCAAAACTGGCACAGTTTAGGACGTTACAGTACAAAAACAATCGCTAGAAAGGAACATGTGAATGCTTTTCATCTGCTTCAGTGGCAGTCAGATGTCTTAGCTGCAACTGATAGAAATATATTTTGGAATAACGTGGAAGCATTGGTGTAGTTGAGTAGCACTTCGACATTCCTTTTTGCTGTCTCTGAGTTGGAACTGTGACAAACTTCCCTCTAATAGCGCAAAGGATGAAAGTGTTAAGTGTTGGTAAGCATGAAGAAATCTTTAACTGCTTGAGCTTGATCAGTAACAGTACTGAAAATAAGCATCCATGAGCACAGAAACCCACAACAAAGGTCAAATTTAATATATAACTGTGCATCAAAATGGCGCTGAACAATCCCACTTGATCAGTCTTGCACAGAGTATCTGTCAAAGACCATGGAAAGCCTCAGTTCTGTAGTTTTTCATGTGGAGTCTTGTCATTTAGAAAAAGATTTCTCAGGAAGCAGCTGAGAAAAACTGGAATGAAAATAGGAAGTCTGTATACAGAAAGAGTAGAGAATTCCTTGTAAAGCTTTTTTAGATATTCCAGAATGAAGAACCAGAAGTGGTCTGCAGTCCAGATCCTATAAGGCACTATTAGCAATGAGACTTAACCAAGACTCATTCATTATATATTTTCTAGAACAATAATTTAAACATTATCCTCAGTGAAGTGAATCCATCTGAGGGAAGCTGGTCTGTTGATTTTTTGTCAGTATTTTCACGAAAACAAACACAGAATGTGCTATAGCCTGATGTTAGAATGTACCCTTGTCTGTTGACAGGATTTCCTCAGCTCCCTGGCTGATAATGTACCATTCATTCTGGAAGCTGAAATTTCTGGATAGGCCAATGACTAACATTATTAATGTGAAACACTTAATGCTGTATTATTTCTTAATTCCTTACTGACTGTGAGCTGAATGACCAGAAGCTGATTCAGGAACACCTCATTCTCCACCCTTGTGTGCACAGATGTCCCTGATCACACTGAAACTGTGTTGTACTGGGTGCTGTACAGATGTGAATTAAGAGTCAAACCCTGTTACAAAGAGTTTACAGTCTGCAGAGATGACCTGTGTGTAAGGTAGGCTGTGTGACTTGTGTGTGAGGTAGTGGCATCATTTCTGTATTAGAGATGAGGAAAGCATAGCACAGGCTGATTACTCAGAATTGTACATGAAGTCTGTGGATGACTCAAGAACTGAACCCAAAACAACTGCCTTTACTGATGACTGCTTTGCATTTTCAGTGGTAAGAGATTCTGTGTAATATCTCGTATTAAAATAAATCTTCTAGACAGGATTTTTTTCGAGTATGTATGAGGAAACTTTTCCATGTAATGCTATCCCTTAGAATAGCATGTTAGGATGAGTAAATAGATGTTTTAAGAAAAGTAATAGGACAAACCCAAAATGATTGTTCATCCAGTCTGTATGAGGATCATCTGGAATAGTGCCTCAGCTGCCAACAAGAGCAGTTTTGCATCTCTTCTGTAATCTGAAAAGGTCAGAAAAATATTAATGTTGACACAGTGGTGATCCCTAATCAGTCCAACTACACTTCTGCAGATCTTCATGGGAATAGTAGCTGAGAAGTCTTCATACCTTTATGATCATTTATGTCTCTTCTTTCCTGTGCAGATTATGCATTTCGTGTCATCTGATGTTTTACATTCAGGGAACGGTGCTGGGCCTAAAGGGAGCTACAGGTATATTTGAGACAGGACTCATGGCTTGGTTACATATAAAGTATCTAAACCAACAAATTTTAGGTAACACTAAGTGAACAAAAATCTATCATTTCAAGCTTTGTGATGGAGAAAACAGAAATGGAGAAATGGATATTTCATGTTTTTTAATGAGATGGTATTTCATTGAAAGTATATTAAGCAACTTTCATGCAAGCCTTCCTTAGCCAGAATTAAGCCAGAATTACTCTACTAGAAATCTTGCAAGTTAGTTCTATCCAAGCAGACTGGAGGCACAAGGTGTCTGTCAGAGTTCAGTAGGATGCACTTTTCCTTGGAAGAGAACTCTGTCTGCAGAGAAAGGCAGGCAGACATACAGACAGATCTAGTTCTGGCTGGGAACATGTCAGTGTTAGCTCTTGTTATTCTGTTTTACACATGGAGCTTTCATGTCTAAATTGCTTCTAGATTAAGGAAACAATAGGAAAGAAAACCACAGTATTTCTCAACTCTGAGAATTAAAGTTAGTTCCACAAATGGGCGATTTTCAGACACTGCAGTACAAAGAACAAAATGCACTGTCTTTGTCAGTGTTCAAGATACAGCTCAGGCTTGAGTTCTAGGTCAGTTATTAGTTTACTGTTGAGATTTTAATTTTGCTTTGTTGGGGTTTTTGTTTGTTTGTTTCAGTGTAAGAAAGCAAAATAAACCTAATCCACCCCACCTGAAACCAGAAAGCTGGGACATAGTTCCACAAGCTCTGATCGGAGCCTCTATAAAGATAGTTGTGTGTTTGCACTGAGATTTAGATCTGCAGTTCCACCCAGAGAAGTAAACTTGTACCTCTTTACTCAGATGCTTCTTTGACTGTGAGAGCGAGCCAGCCTTTCAGGTGTGTTTGGCTCACAGTATGGTGGTTGATTATGGAGCAATTCCAAATCTATCCGCACAGTAACATGTTTCTGTAAGATGTTTCGTTTTATTTTTAGGTGGTAGATCAAATAATCATTTAACAGGATCTCTAGCAACTCTAACCTGACAGACAAGGAGCAGCTGCGCCTTGTTTTGTTAGCTTTCCTCCTCTGTTCCAGATTTGGGAAGATGGTTCCTCAGCTCAGTGTGCAATGTGAAATCCTGTTCTTTATATTAAAGCAGGCAGTGAAGAAACAGAGTAAAGCGCAAATCTGTAATTCAACTTGTTTGAGTCAAAACAGAAAAACAAAACCTGTATGTACAAGGCATAAAATAAGTACGTGGCCCTCAACAAATATTGCAGTCTTGGAGTAAACAAAGCAGCGTGTTACTCCATGCTGCTTCCAGAGTCACTCTGGAACATGTAGTAGTGGGAAGGTGGTTGGGAGCTCTACACTCTGAACAGTACGCAGTGGAGATGGCTTGTAAAATGAGAGGATTATCTCCCTGTACAAGAGTATCATAGTGCTGAGCAGCACTGCAGCAAGGCAGAGGCATCCGCAATGTCACTACTTACCGTGCCAGGAAACTCCTAGACTTTTCTGCTACCTCTTAGGCTTTGAATCTGCAGAGTATCCTAGCTCTGTGGCTAACAGGTAAGCTTGTGTATAGCCTTGCTGATTACAGGACCTAGGCGTGTAAGAAGTATTTTTTAATCTCTTTCATTCTCTGAGGATTTGTTGCCTGTCACAGAGGAGCATGTCTGGAGTAGCCCAGCCATACTGAAACTGCAGAACCACATTCTGAAACTGCAGAACCTCCAGTGTAAGATTCAGGTGTAAGATTTATGTGGACATTAATTTCAAAATTTTTATTAATAGAGGCTATTCATTTGTGTTTCTGTTAGTGCACTAACTTTAATAACACTTTTTTCCTTGGGATAGTGTATCATTTGGTACACAAGACTACAGTTTGAAGTAAAATCTGTAGTTTCTTAAAGTAAAAATACTGGGGGCTTTTTAAGTAGAAGATTAATAAGGATGATAAGTACATGTGTATATACATAAGTACATACACTCTCAGGAATGTTCTCTTTGTATCTTTGACTTCATGTAAGTCAACAAGAGCTAAAGTAGAAAGCCCAGTGAGGAAGTAGAGTGTTACCTACTTAAAGCATTTGGTACAAAATCTGACTTCAGTGGAATGGTTCTAATTCTCACAGCAGAAGGGAGGCCAGCCAGTTGGATCAGTGAGCCTGTCCGGACTGGACAGATACTCTGGAGTCTGTTTTGTTTCCCTTTTTTCTTTTCCAGCTGCTCTAGGATGTGGTTAATTCTACATTGTTGCAGTGTGGCTACAAGGGCAATTATTGTTTGTGTGAAACTGGAGAGAAATGGGTGGTTAAGTCTGCTTCAGATGTAATTAAGTCTGAAATGTCTCAGTGGTCACATTAGAAGCACTAATTTTAAGCTCTCTTATTGGTTTAGGCCATAGCCGTTTGTTACATAAAAAGGAAAAGGGGTTTTTTTGGTCCTTAATGATTTTCTGTGGGAATATGGAGGGGAAAAAAAAAAAAGTGTTCTCCAAAGCATCAAGACAGTAATACCCACTACAGACTCCTTGTCCTGCCAAAATAAATTAGGTAAGAAACTCCAAACCATTTTTTTGAATGGAAAAAGTATCTAATCATCCTTTTTTCTCCATTGGTGAAACAAGCCATGCCTGCAAGTTCATCCTGTGTGCCTATTTCACTCTTTGTTTTCCAGAGATGGACTTTCAATGTCAAGTTAGTCATGAAGAAGCTTAAATTTAAATTACACTCAAGAGTGTGTCATTTTAATCTTATTTTTCCTTGCATAAAATGCTTTAAGAAGTCACATGTTCCTGCCTTTTTCCTTACAAGATTCCATGTCCTTGTATATATTGGTGCAACTCTTCTTGGGTTGTGTGTGTTGCAGCCAGTTTTGATCAAATGAGATGGATTTGCAATCACAAGAATATGAAATATACTAGATGAGAGAAAAAAATGTGGAAGCAGCTCATGTGAAATTATTGGTAGGAGTATTTTTGTCATGCTTGGTCCATCATGCTTGGTCATCCAAATGTAACACCAGACACAGATTTAGCTTAAATAAATGGAACTGTGTCCAGAACTAAAATATCAGAACTTCTGTATTTTGAAGTAGCTGAGGCAGGGGGGAGAAGTCTGGTTTATGCATTCCTTGCCAGCAACCTTTGGACACAGTGCTTATGTCGTGAAAGTTTGCTGGTTCCCATCACAAAGTATGTTTTGGGCTGTTTCAGTGAAGTGCAGAACGTGTATAAAGACATTTAAAACTGACCCGCTGCACTGAACAATTGCTGTGAAGGAATGGCCTTGCACCCGCTGCTCCATTGCAAACAAGAATAGATGGGGGTGTTCAGTGTTCTTGCTTTTCCTGAGGAGCCTAGGAATGTTTGTGGAAATGTTTGGAAACATTGCTCATCTGAGTTACTGAGAAATAGAAACTGAGCTCCTCCCTCGGTGATGGGCACAACAGCTGAACCAGGAGAATCAAAAGTGAAACTATCTTTGTCACTTGAAGGATTTCAACAAAGTTGGTGATAAAGAGCAATCTGAAGTTTTACCTGTTTGAACTCAGAGCTGGCTCAGCTCCTACAAAGTGTTCCTCTGCTCATCCACCTGCTAGCTTTCTGCTGATGCACTGCAGCAGCTAACGGCTCAAAACACAGGAGTCAACAGGTGATGAAAAGCCTGTCTGCAGACTGTGCTGTCGCAGGCCCACCACTGAACTAGGTATGTCATTTCAAAGTTATGTCAGTTCAAACTTGGGTTTTTTATTAACCCCCTCCCCCCGTGAAAAGTTATTAAAACACATATTTATTCCTTTTTTTTTTTTTATGTGGTGTTTGAATTCCAAACAAACTAGATAGAGACCTTTTATATTAGCTAGATTTGAGCCTGGATGGGTTATGCTGATGCTAACTTTGATGCTAATAAATGGCCTAATTTCCCCTGTTTTGCAGCCTTCACAGAAGTTACTTTCACCTTTATATGACGCTGCGTGCTGATGCGGTGATGCCAAAATGTTCACTTGACACAGGTTATGAAATTGAGCCTAAGCATCATAAACAGAATTGAGTTGATAATGTTCCATCTAATAGAAATACAGCCTCACAAAGGTATCTGTATAAACCCCAGTCCTATAATCTTATAAATACCATAGAGAGATTAATCGCTCAGCCTCCAGGTGGTGGTGACTTCTGTTCCCCCTTCTCTCCCCTGGCAGAACTGAATAAACCACTGCATATAGTGCTAAGCAGACAGCACTACCAAAAGACTATGAGTGAGATAGTAAGTAAAATGAATGATAAATAACTGGAAAGGTGTAAGGGACATAATCAATAAAGCAAAAGTCAGGAATTGGCTGTGTCTAGAAAGCCAGGGGTTTATTCATTTCTAGAGCAATCTGAGCCCCTGCACTGCTGCTGCTCCTGTAGTTCCCTGCTGTTCCCTCACACAGTTCCTCAAAGCCTCTGACAAGTTTGAGTGACAGGACAGGGTATGGAGCTTTTTGCTCCATTTTCCCCACACACCATCTCCACAGTGTTAACTTCCTGACTTCGGTGCAATGGAAGCAAACACTTCATGGGGAAAAGTTTAAGAAATGAGTGGGTGGGATTTTTTTTTTTTTTTTTTAGGAGCTAGACTGTTTGATTTCAAGGATAATTATTACTTGTTTTTTCTGGAAATTTCCCTACAAATAACTGCCATCAGATTACTGAATAGGCATCCACTCAGCTGATAAGTCCAAAGACATGTCATCATGTGTAACCTCCAGAGGCTGAGAAGGGCATTTTTAGCTCTTGGGAACACTTAGATGTCAAAGGCGTGAGGAATCTGGGAACCAGATATACTGGCATTCGTTCAATGTCTTCCCATTTTCACCAGCACAAGGCTTTTTGAAAAAACAACAAAACAAAGGGAACCAACTAAAGTCTAAAGCCAGAAGAAGAGCTGTTAAAGCTTTTCGGAAAACAACCCTTTGATACTGCTGACATCCTTGAGTTGCTGAGCACAATCTTATTTGAGCTGCTTGGTCTGCTCTCTCACTCCAGCCCTTTGTTTAGCTAATGTATTTTGACATGGTTTCCCAGAAAGAATTTAATCCTAGAAACAAAAAGTACTTGGAGCGGGTGAGCACTATCACATTGATATAGATCTGCTTGTCTTTTGTCCCTTCCCCAGCCTGTGTCTGTTCTGCCTGCTTAGATGGGACACTGCTTGTACAGCACCTAGCAGTGATCCGTGTTGGTTTTTCTCAGACCTTCTCTAGAAAACAGTGCTCTGAGTGATCAAGTGGGAGGGGTAGGATGGAGTGGAGGAGCAGATTGAAACTTTCATTTCTGTTTTGTTGCAGGTTTGATGGTGTGGAGCAGTAATGCAGGAAAGGGAGGGGACACAGCAAGAGAACTATGGACTTCAGAGCAAACAAGAGAGGAAACAGAACACTAGGAGAAAAGGCACAATGACTTATTTAGATACAGCAGCCAGAATATGCAGACCAGTGGTGGAAGCATCCTCCTATACGTTCAGTGTGCCCAGAATAGGGAGAATCAGGTATTTATGCCACGCATCTTGGAGCCCAGCTCACTCATATTGATTAATATCTTTAGTGACTAAAAGACAAGTCACGACATTCTTAGGAGTAATGTGCATTGGATGTTCAACTTTCAGCACAGAAGGGGAAGTGTCAGTAGCACTGGGAATAGTTAAACATATGAAATTCTCTTCTAGGTGTAGAATTCATTCAGCTTCTCACCCAGGTAATGTTTATTTATGCTGTTTGCTCAGGCAGGCACCTCCTGAGGGCACAGTTTCAGCTGACCCATGGAACCAATCGCATGCCATTCTCTGACAGCACTTGTTCTTTATCAGCCCATTAAGCACGGGCTTTCAGCCAGTGAAAACATCAGATATTTGGCAAAGCATTTATAATTAGTAACTGTTGTGGCAGAATAATGGAATCTAAGGTCTCAGAAACCATCAAGTGTGCCCTTTTCCAGCTGATAATCTCAGGGAGACAACAAAATGGAAAGTGAAGAATACTAAATTGAAGGAGGCAGTATGCAGTGTTTGGATTTACTGTAGAGTACTTTGCAGCAATCCGGACTCTTTCCACAGTTTGATACTCAGTGTCTGAAGACCTTGCAGAGAAGGCTATTTCCCTCGCTACCTTGCTGTGTTTTACAGGCATTGCTGTGCCATCTTGCCTGTACCATTTGTTTCTGTCCTGTTCAGAAAGCTTTCTGTGTTTTGACAAGAGGTGCACTTAGAGAACACATTTTCATAATCTTGAAATAGTTTGATATTGAGGACATGGTCGGGAAGGGAGGCAGACAGAGACCTGAAGTATACTTTCTCTAGGCGTGGCTGTGCAGATTTCCACTTGGTCTCGCTGTTTATAAAGTGAGAATCTCCTTCATTTGTTCTGGCTGATGATATAGGACCTTTCTGGCCAGCCATCAACCACTTGCTCTCAGGCGTGAGAGAACAAGACCTGTCCACTTTCTGTCAACCATGTTTTTGTTTTTCACTCTTTTGGCATGCATTTGACAAGCTTGCTTTGGCATCTTCCATGTCTTGCAGTCTGTTTCCTAAGAACTGACTTCCAAGCTTTTGACATTCTCTGGCTAGATGTCATCTTCCCATAGCAGAAATTCCTCTCCCCTCACATCACTGTTCATTTGGTATTGAGAGCTAGCCTGTACGGCTCAGATGAAAAGCTCTTCTGCACTCAACTTGAGTCCAAAGAGAGTACTGCAGTGGTTCAGTCCATTAAGGCAATGCTATGCCTGTTGAACCAAGTGGGTTGTCAGTGTTTGAGATTTGGTTTCTTTTGTACTTTTTCTAGAAGAATGAAAAGAACTGAGGGAAGGACTTTGTCTGTGAAGTTCTTTACTAGCAGAGAGGTTCAGTATCTGCATTCTGTGAATAAAGAATCAAGTGACAGCAGCATGATTCCACATCAGCTTCAGCTGCTCTGCTTTGGGTCCTGGCAGCTTTCTCCCTGGTGTCCACTGTACAGCCCTGCCAGTCCTCTCCTTTGCATTTATAATATTGCTCCTGTGACTGTGGTGGGGTAGCTAATCTGCCTGAAGCCTAACGGAAGAGGAAAAAAAAAATCCAAAATAACTTATTTCTTCTTACTTTGCTAGACCTTTTTTTTATAGAGCCACATGAACTTTACTGCTGGCATGAGAGAGAGATGGGGAGGGAGGGACAGGCATGGGACAGCAGCATGTTGACTGAGATCCACTTGAACTTCTGAGAGATCTTACTCAAGACTGTCAGCATGTCCCAGGCCCTGAGTTTCAGGCATGTGCTTTCCCTAAGCTGGTCTTTACTACTACTGCTTTCTGCTGCTTTCTTACTTCTATAATAAAATCTACCATTCATTTTGTGGCTACTGCATCAGTAGCCAGTCCAAAGGAAGCCCTTCAGAGCTATGATTTAGTCCTTGTCGGGGCTTGGTATGTGCACCAGTACTGTGGGCTGTAGCCTCCTTTCAATCTGTCATACAGTTATGTGCATACAAAGGGACAAGATTACTTCTGTTCTTAGTCTGAAGTATTGAGTAAAGGGTTCTGAGCAGATCTGTGGCATTTGCATGCCTAGGGATGAAAACTGTACTTGCAAGTACTCCTTAATGGCACGATTAACTGTATCCTTCCCAGTTAAAACAAGGGCTCAGATCATATGAAACTAACATCTTCTAAATGGCTAGAAGGGGGGAATGGGAAGGGAGGAAGGAAGAAGTAGAATGCCTTTTGAGATCCTGTATCTAGTGTCAGAGCCAGCAAAGTCTATACTCATGCCTTTTGTTTTGATTCGGTTTGTTCTTTGGAGCGTATGGGATGGTCTAGTGAGGGAAGATAGGGGCTCAGCAGATGTATGTGCTCCAGGGGCTCAGTTCCAAGTGCAAAAATTACAATTTCTCAAATGTTCATTTCTGCAATAACGCGAGAGTCATGACTGGGCTGTGCAGTTACATTTAGACTTTTCCCTCTGAAGTCTGGACAGTGTCTCCATGTGTGTTGCCCACAGAATCCAGGCCTGGTGCTTTTGGAGCGTGGAGAGGTACAGAGCACCCCTAGGCTATGCTGCCACAGCAACAGCAAATAAGTTGGAATGAGTGCTGGAGGAGATGTCTGGCAGGTCATATGAATATTTTGAAAAACTTTAAGTGCAGGAGTGGCAGCTAAGTACAACTGTATCAGAGTAAAGCAGGTGCTATGATTACAGGCCAGACTCTTACCATTGTGCCCATAAACAGCACTTAGTGGGTTTTTTGTTACAAATGGTGTGAAGCTCTTCTCCCTGGTGCGTATTTGGCCCAGTCCTAGATGTCAGAGTAACTTCCTACAGAGCAAGCCCAGTTGTGAGTTGGTAGTGCTGTTTTATTTTCAGGACTTGTGGAAGATTGGCATTAGCACTCAGTGGGAAGGCAGCGTTGGACAAGAAAGAATTGCAGGGAGGTTTTAGCAGGGTAATTTCAGTACTGGCTAGTAATGTAGCCTGGATCTGATTAAGCCAGCAGTAAACTAGACTTACTCATTTTCTTTGCCAAGCTTGTAGCTATACCACTTAACCTTGTCATAACCAACAGCCACGTCAGGGGGGTGGCACTGCAGCTCTAGTGATAAACCTTCTTTTGAGCAGTCAGGGCATTAACCATGTCAGTATATACTTTGCAGCTGAATTGATCTCAACGTTGAGACTTGTTCCTCCCAACTTTTGTCCCCTTATCGCTCAGCACCAAGCAAGGCTGATTCTATGCAGCAGCTTTTCCCAAAACTGAGAGTTATTTTTCCACTGAGTGATTTCTTGCTTACCCACTGATTGATTTGTCTGTTGTGTTGCCACTGAACTGTCTTACAGCAGCTTTGGGGTGGAAGGCCATGTGAATTCTTTTGCAGCTGTTTTGTATGTGTTTGACTGTTGAAAACAGTCATGAGTGTTCTAGTAAATGCCTCAGTTTCTTTTCATCAGTTCTTGAGATGCTGCAGCTCACTGGAGTCAGTTAACTTTTTTACAAGACTGTAAGTTTCAGGTTCTTGGATTTACTGCATTTCCCTGATGCAGTAAATGGTAGGGCGCTTATTTAAATATAGTTTTTCTTCTTGAGTTTTGAAGCAGAAGTAGCAATCTTAAATCTTTCTATTTAGTTTAAGTAAATAAAAACTTGTTTTCATGAAATAGAGGTACCTCTTCTGATTTCAACATGCGCATCTCTTAAAAAAAATAAAGTTTAGAAATGCTGTGACATTTTGTAATTGGCTCACAATTTAAGTTAACGTTTGTAGCATTTTGTTTCCCAACAGGAAATTTCTGAACAAGGCCCATCTCATTATCTTCCTCCTCACTGCTTATAGGTATAGCCTGATTCATTCTCCTTAAGGGAGTGAATGGAGATACAAATGTCTCTGTAGTTGTGGGAGAAAGCAGGCAGAGAAAACAGGGGTAAAAGCAGACACAACTTCATTAAAAAACAAAACAAAACAAAAAAAACACCACCCAATAGATAAGCTGTGGGGTAAATAATTAAGCAAAAATTATTAGGTAGGGTAAGGGGCAAAGGCTTATTTGAACAGACACAGCCTTGTTGTGGAACATGGTTGATGAATCATGGATTATAGGAGACCAAATGCTCCAGAGAAATAAAACCACAGATGCCTAACTATAAACATTCTACTTCTGCTATACTGACAGCATTAGCTGCAATTCGGAACTCTGTTATAATCCCATGCTTAGAATCAGACCCAAACCCAGCATACTGTCTGGAGAGGTGCTCAACTCAACACACAGTATTTAAAATCTGTAGAAGTAAAACCAAAAGTGATCTCTGGACTTAAGAGCGTCTTCAGGGCCCAACAATTGTTTCGCAGAATTGCACATTCATGATCACAGTTTTGAATTGAGGGACCCAAATCCTGCCATAACATCACTTCATAAACCTATATTTCTTGCCTTGCATGCTATTTAAAAAAAAAATAGGTCTTGTGAAAATGAAAGTGTCAGCTTGTGAAAGAAAAACATGAACATAAATTGTGTAAGTCTGATATTTAGTGTGAGCTAGGTAAGAACAAATATGCATAATATATGATAAGAGTAAGAAAGATACTATTACTACCTATCTTCATGCTTCAGGTCTTCTCAATTTTAATGTGCTTTAGAACAAGATTAAATAAATATCTGAATAACATGTAGTTGTGACTGAAGGACAGCAAGCAAGTAGCTAGAGAGCTTAACGTTATATTGTAATGCACCATCAACAGCAAGCAGGAAAGGCAATTGTGAATTCCCTTTGTATTCAGGTTTTTTCCTCTCTGTGAATCCCTGGTAAAGAGAGGAACTATAAAATGAGGCAGTCTTTTAAAACTGTACAATGCTTCTGGCAGTGATGTATTGGTATTCAGGTAGGAATTATTTTACCAGAAGTACAGATGGGGGAGGAAGGGATACATGCTATATTATTCCCTTACAGAAAAGAAAAATCAATCCATTCTCATAAATAATATAGAAAATTCTCAGCAAGATCTAAATTCAATACCCTTAAG